AAAAAAATTTAAGTTGTTGTGTTGTTAAGCCACGTGCAGTTTTGGGCACCACAATATCAGAAAGGTATAAAGCTGTTAAGAGAGTGTCCAAAGGGGGAAATGAGGATGGTAAAAACCCTGGAGGAAAAGCCACATGAGGAGTGGCTGAGGCACTTGGTCTGTTCAGCCTTGAGATGAGGAGACTGAGGGGAGACCTCATCACTGGATATAACTTCCTCATGGAAGGAAGTGGAGAGGCAGCACTGAACTGTTTTCTCTGGCAGCCAGGGAATGGTCTGAAGTTGTGTCAGGGCAGGTTTAAGTTGGATATTAGAAAATGGTTCTTCCCCCAGAGGTGTTTGGGCACTGGAACAGCTCACCAGGGAATATGTCCAGCCCCAAGCCTGACAGAGTTCAAGAAGCATTAGGACAATGCTCTCAGGCACAGGGTGTGATTCTCAGGGATGTCCTGTGCAGGGCCTGGAGTTAGACTAGATGATCCTTGTGGGTCCCTTTTGACTCTGATTATTCTGTGATTGTGTTTTGTTTTACAGGCAACCTGCATATTTTCTCTGTGGAAAAATACATTTATAACACACAAAATAAGGACTGAACATTAATCAGCTGTTATAAGGGAAGGCCTCAAATGTCCTCCTAGGCAGTGAACACAAGAGGATCAGAAACTCACTACATCTGTGGCTTACCTCTATTATCAGCCCTCCAGAAAGTAAAATTCCTCTGCCTGACCCCCTAAATAAATCACACTTCTCCTAGAGGTGAATCTGGAAGAAAGCTATAAATATAGATTGTAAAATGTGCTTAAATTGTCTGTTTATTTCAAAGAAATAATCCTCTTTACAGCTATAAATTTGATTGAAGTGCTATCACTCCTCAATCTCCCTGAATAGGAGAATGTTAAAAATAGCCCGACTTCCAGATAATTTCTGCAACAACCACATCTTACTGAACTTGGTCAAGAACACTAGATTTTCTGATTCATTTAATTATCCAGAATTGGTAAGTGTCTTAATTTAGAAGCAGAATTTGTTTTAAATTTCAGGCTATTAACAGAAAATGATATCTTACCACAATCAAAACAAGGCTTTTATTGCTTTTGAGAAGTATAGTCAAAATACACATTTGCAGGAAAAGAGATAGTGATTCTTAGTTTCATTTCTTTGCTTTATCTGCAAGAAAAATGACTTTGCAGAAGGTTACAAGAGAAGAGATCTACACTAATATAAGAAGATGTATTACCAATATGCACTATAATCTTTAACTATAATCTTTAAGAGCCTGAAAAATGTTACGGCTTGAGGATTTCAAATTATTTTTCACAGTTTTAGAAAGGGATGAATCTTTTTCCTTTGTTTAATCTTTGCAGCAGTGCTTTATTTCCCTACCCAGACCCAGAACTTTATCAGTGCTGTCATAATGGGTTGAATATCTGCTTACTTACAGGAGAAACCTTACCTTCTACACTTTATCTGTTACCTTAAAACACTTCAGCTGTACCTCTGCAGCAGTAGTTACCAATACTCTAGGATACAGCATGTAACTTGCACAAGGGGGTAATGCTTTCCAAAATGCTGTTGTAGACCACTGTCCAATTCAGAAACCTGTGTTGATAAAGCCACATACCAAAACAGCTGCAGGCCCAAGAAATAGTGTCCAAGCAGCAGAAGGCATCAATCTGCAGAGTTATGCCTACCCTCATCATTCAGAAGCAAAACAACCATTGCAAAGGTTCATTAGCTTTCAGTTTATATAGGCACATTACCTGAGCCTGCAATGACTATTCTGTGCAGCATGACTCTGGGACAGGTACACTCCACCTAGAAACAGACTACTATTTTCAGTGTGAAATCTCAGTCCACCCTGTGATCTTTTCTTGAAATTTAAGCAGATATTTATTTGCATCTTCACCAGCAAAGGCTTTTCAGTTGTTTCTGACAATCAGCAGGAGATATGCAGCATGCTGTTAGCTTCAGCTAAGGAACAAAACAGACTATTACAAGCTTTATTGTATTTATGATCTCTAAGTCTGGATAAATTTTCAATCACTATAGTACAAGCAGCAAAATGAAGACCCATTTGGTAAATGTTGCTGCTGAATTCTATTAAATATATTCCTGGTGATCATGGTTAGACATGTCAGCAAGATTTAAAGCTCTAGCTTCTAAATGTTCAAAGCCTCCCATGTAGTAGAAGCTAACTAGAAAAGTACAACAACAACAAATGTAACCTAAGCCAGGTGTGATAACAGCACTGCACCTATTCAGAATTTTGGAAAGCTCACACTACAGAAATGCATTTGAAATACCACTCATTTAAATCAAACAGTGATTTAAGAACACTGAGATCTCTGAAGACTCAGTGGAAGATATTAGATATTTGCTTACAAGGTAGAACACCACTGTAACATGAGTGGAAAATTGAAAATTGCTCCAAAAACCTGCAGAAAGCTGGACTATCATTTCCTAGCTAACAGCTAAATGAGTGAGAAGTGCTGCCACAGCATGGATAACTTTGGACAAAAACTAATTTATTGTTTTACTTGCAAGTAAGACACCACAAGAAACAACTAGGAAATAATATACTGGAAGATCTGTTTCTTTAAAGTTGCCCTAAGTATTGATCAAAGCTAAGTATTTAAAGTTAGGGCTATTCTAAATTTCACTGCTAGTTTCCTTCACTGGGTGATAACAGATATACAAATCCAGTTTGTGAGTTCCCACAGTAAACTTCCAAAACACCTCCAGTTCTTGTTAAAGGAACAGTATGGTAAAAATGCCAAGTTCCCATCACACGAAGTGTTTAGAGATGAGTTCTTGAGTGTATATTCATTACAATTACATTAGTGCATACAAAATCTTTTAAAACCTCGTCAGTCAAATGGTTCATTGAACTCCTGAGAAATTTTAGTGAGAATGTGGCAGGTGAAGAATAATTCGATTATGAGTGCTGACAGTTATTTACTGCTTGCATGACAGAGGGTGACAGCAGATGTCTGAAGCAACTTTTGAACTCCCCTATCAAAACCACCTCCTTGCAATGGGCTGCTTGTAAATCTGATTAATACCTGGATTAAAAAATAGTGGTACTTACTGAATCCTCCAATTAAAAGAGACAAAGTGACCAAAGGCAGTTCTTGGTGTTTCTGCATATAGACTGTTTAGGTGGGAAACAGATGGATTGGGAAGAACCTGGAAATTAAGGAAATCCTAGAAACAAGAGAGACTTACAGCAACATATACCTAGGCACTGGCCAGGCATCTTGGTCACCCAAGCCTGCATCAACATGGAAGCAGCTCCATGGCACAAACCTACCTTCTTCACAATCTTCCCCAGACAAGTACCAATCTCCCTGGTGAGAAGTTCAGGTAGAATGGATGTAACTGTGCAAAATTGGGTGTTACAAACAAATCTGTACATGGTACATCTGAAGAAGGAAGTGCTATTTATCATTGGTTAAAGCTGAAGATGAAAAATGAACAAAACACAGAAAAGGAGGAGAACATCTGAGCAGTTAACTTTATTTAAATTAGCTCATGTAAGTTTTCCACCAGGTCATTCACAGATAAGTATACTCCAATGTCTTGCTATCCTCAGGATGTAACTTCCAGACAGTCAACATCAGGTTCCATCTTCTGTTTGAGTTACTTGAACTTCTTCTAAATAATTCCCTGCAAGTTTCCCCAATGGTCATGTTTAAATAGTATTCAGCTAATTCTAGTCAAAGGGAGCTCAGACTGCCTAGCCAAGATTTCAGTACCTACTCTGTGTTTGAATACATTTCTGTCCTTTCAAATGTCTCACTGGTAGCAAACAGATTGATTGCTATTAGGTGAGCAGACCTGACAGGGTATTTGCAGCTTATGATCAGCCTACAAAATCACACATTCTTCCAGACTGCCAAAAACACTTATATTATTGGAGCAGTTAGCACTGAAGGCTTGTTAAGAGACTTCAGTTTTGTTTGCTCCTGGAAGAGTCCAAACATCAGTTCCCTGTGTTCATGCATTAACTAAGCAACTCACCTCAGACTTCCTCAAATACTGAAACTAAATTGAACTTCAGAAGTTCCTGAGAGCCTGCTGCTCTGAAACACTGCAGGAAGAGGCAGACTGTCCTCAAAATCACAACTTTAGTGTTTGCAAATGTGTAAGCAGGACATAATATTAATAACTCCCCTGCACTTTAATAGCTATTTAACAATTAGTCTTATAAAAAGATTACCTAAGTTACATTTCCATGTGCTTGCATGGACTTCAATGTCCCTTAGGTAGCATTAGAAGCTTAAAAACCTGTACTTGTAAACATTTTCTCTTTCAGAATCAGTCAAAGGATATCTGAAGAATTTTTTTCAGCCTTAGAAATATAGCTCAGTAACTATATAGCTAAAATAGGATTACTTTACAAAGACAACATGAATGACAAAAATATTTATGAATTGTGTTTATATAAACATATTGGCTTGTAAACAAATTGACATCATTTACATTAAATATTGAAAGTTGGCTTGTAAACAAATTGACATCATTTACATTAAATATTGACAATAACAACTTCAAACTCAACAGTTTGCATTAAAGAGAACAATAAGTTAAAAATTAATCACATCTTAATTATTCCATTGGTTATGGCTAGATCAGGCACCTGGCAGCTTCAGATCTGAACTGTACTAAAACACTGCAGCAGTGCTGAATATTGTAATTTAGACTAAAGATTTCCTTGGATGGAGCAAAAGCCACCTCATAGTTACCTGAGGATTCCCATGGTAACTCAGTGGGGTAACAGTAGGAAAAGTGACATTTTTCACAGACTGGGAACTCACCACTTAAGCGGATGTTTTTGGCATACTTAAAAAGACATTCACTTGATAGCTACAGTTTTATATGGAAATCCCAGAATTGCCAGCAAAACTAATGCAAAAAAGTTGAAGTCAAACGCTTCTGAAAGTATAAACCTCATCCAAATCTTTACAGAATTATTTGTACTGCTTTGCAGGACTTCAGCTAATTTCTGAATAAAAAAGTCCTACAAGTATTTAAGAAAACCCAAGTTAACAGAAAAGCATCATGAACTATTAAATAGTTACAACCGTTCATCAAATTATACATCAGAAAGTTACATACATGTTTAACCATAAAACAATTTTTTGATACATTATTATAGCTCAGATTCAAAAATTGTTCTCATTTAGCAGTGATACTCTAAGTGATATTCAGGCTTTTTACCCCTTTAAGTGAGCATACTTATTTCTTCTATTTTTACAGGTGCAAGGATGCTTATTTGGATACAAATTCCACATGGGTATGACCTTCAACATAACTTTAAATTACAATTTTTCCCTCTTGAAGGCAAAAGGCTATCAGTGGTAATAAACAGACGGTTCATCATCACTCATGTCTGAATCGTTGTCATCCACTTCACCTTCAATGACTGATTTCTTGCCTTTGCAGCATGAAACAATTAATCCAATTAAAAAGACCTGCAAATATAAAGTAAGTAGCAAAAGTTCCTGTTACTCAATTCAGGGGCATATAAGGGCAATACATGTAAAAGGAAATGGCAGTGTGGTGATGCAAATAATGCAATGACAACTACTGTAAATTACCCAATCTGATTCAGTGATCTCTAAAAATCAAAGCACTTACTGCAATGAATGCCCAGTTCCCAAAGTAATAGGCAGCACTGAAGAACCAGAATTTATGAAGAAAGAGGTAGGTCCGAGTGACAATACACTGATCTAAAATGAAAGCAAATAGTACTGATTAACACAGAACAAAGAAACTGAGCTAAATCCAATTTACAGGATAGTAATTTACACAGTTTTGGTGCTCTGCAGAACAATTACACTCCATTAAAAGTAATTTACTCTCCTCTGCCAAGAAGGTATACAAGTGGGGTATTATTTGTTGCTATGGGAAAGTGACTGAAAAGAGGCACCACTAAGCTATGAGTAAGACAGATAACCTCATTACAACTGGGTACAATTTCTCCTGCAGATATATCAATTATTAACTAGAATCTGTCTAAACCCGAACTCACTTCCCATTTTAGGTAAACTGTAGCCAAAGCAGATTCTGGATTAAAACACACATTTCAGTATCCTGAGCAAAAGGTTTCTCTACCAGGATTGCATAAACTTGGTAAAAATCAAAGTCAATTATAATATTGAGTTGTCCAAGCAAAAAAACCCCAACATGTGCTGGGGCCTTTTGTGACTCAGATAGCAGAGGGCTTACCTGTACCCAAGACCTTAAAGTACTGGTCAAACCTCACTTCTCTAACAACATGAATATTGGGGTACTATTTTTTGACATGGCTGCATTTTTCTTCATTACGAAGCAGCAGATTTTAACAAAATAAAGAATCAAATTGCCAAGGTGTTTTCAACACCGCAGACAGGTAGTATAAACACCTGTATGGGACACTGAAGCTGTGACATTTGAGAGGCCCTGTCAGAGTGGCCAGCAGGGCACGTGAGCCAGAAGATGAACCTCTTCAGTACAAGGAGGGGTACACTGAGTTCATGCTAAGCTATAACAATCTCCTGGTTGGTTTGGGGTTTTTTGCAGTCACTATGCTCCAAACCCCACCTAAAGCCCATTGGCAGAGCAGAAATTGGGATCTAAATAAATTAAAGGCTAGAGAAAACAAGCAATCCAGAAATTGCTTGTCCTTCCATCAGTTCGGACCCCAGGTTTGGAAATATCTCCCAGGTGCAGTAAAAATACAGACTTCTTGCCTTCTAAACTTGTGACCGATATGCTGCTTATATAGTTAAGCTTTCAGCAGCCTCTAAGAAATGCTGGTAAAGTGAAGGTGCTTCATAACTGCATATAATATTGTCACTACCACCTGCAGCCCTCCAGCAGTTCACTTGAATTAAAATAACAGCTAAAAGACTTTGAGATGGCTCTTACAGTAAATGGATAAAATAGATGATGGTAAATATTTTAGAACAGTCTGACCCTGATAAAATGTTTCTGTGCAATGTGTCACAAGAGCAGCTAACTAAATTTTAGCTATTATTTCTGAACTACATTACTACACTGATATTACTAAATAGGCTGACATAGCATGACATTTTTAATCAACTTAGTCCTCCATATGACCTAATTTAGAGTAAGTAATAATGAATAACCTGAATTAAGACAACTACTTGTTATCCAGAATGATCAACGTGACTATTACCAACATAGCTTGATCATGCAGAACAGAAGCACACATGGAAATCTACCAAGCCTCCAGCACCTAACTGCCACCACTTTCAGAATACAACACATTACCTAGTGCTGACCAAGGAACAAAGCCAAACAGCTACAGCTCAAGACAAAACAAGTTTTTAAATTAAGAATGACAAGTACTAATAGTCTTATTACCTGAAGAGTCAACTATATTTTGGTTTGAGTCTACTGATGAAGTTCTTCATTATGGTGAATTAGAAAACACTTAGGCTCAATGTACTAATATTTTCAAACTAAGGTTTCTTCCAAGAAGAAAATTAGCTAGTTTAAGATTAATTACAAGGATCTGTTACAGAATCCCCAGTATTAAAGCCTAAAATGTTATTTCAAGCACTGAAAACTCAAATTATGTGAACTTAGTCTGTCTTTTCTGCATCTCAAAATAACGTGAGCTTTTGCAAAAGCATGTGAAAGGAAATAGTTTCTTTGGAAAGAGTTGCAAACTGTTGTGAACAATGTAATTTATAAGCACTGGCATTATTTATTTGAGAGTCAATACTGATGTGCACACTTGTTTTACCTCTTCGTTAATCAACTAGACAACAAAGCAGATTAAAACCTCTGTAAATCCAGAGATCAAACCGAGGAGCAGTGGAGAACAGAGGCCCAACACACTGGATGGTCAGATTCAGGAGAAGCCTATTTTTCAAGGCCTTTTAAACAGTCCTCAAAGTTTATCAGAGACAGGAGCCCTGTACCTGAAACAAAGTGACACCATGCAACAGTGAAGGCTGAGGGTTGACCAGATACAATCCAACTTTGCAGGAAGTGACTTTATATCCCAGTAGACTAATAGAACATGTAGTTACCGGTGTTGATCTGCAACTCAAAAATGTAACTGAGTATCAGGCTTTCACTAACTGGAGTGCAGCCAACATGTCCATGGAACTGATCACCTCCTTCAACTCTGAGTGAAACTGCTCTGCAACAGTGCAATTCTGGGCGGCCTGGTATGCAAGCAGCATTGCCATGTTGGAGCAAATCTAGCAGAGAACCGCTGCAATGGCAAAGGACACAGCATACAATGAAGATTGTTTCTTCAGCTTGAAGTAAAGGTGTTTGCAGGTGTGTCTTACTGCTGCCTTTTATCTAGTGGGGGCATACCAAGTGAGATTCTTCCTAGACCTGCATAACGACAGGACAACAGATGACAGAGCTGCAGCAGGAAATATTCCTGTTAAAGAATAGGAGAAGCTTCACCATCAGCACACGTAAACATTGAAGCTGTGCAGGCTGGATGAGCCTGAGCAACCTGCTCTCCTTGACACTGCTGGGGGCTTGGATCAGACTACCTCAAGGTCCTGCACGCACTCAAAATCATTATATGAAGGTAGAGGTATAAACAACACAGATCTAACTCACAGTGGTATTTTGGATGAAAAAATCCAAAGTAAGAATTTCATCCACAGACAGATCATAGAATCATCAAGGCTGGAAGAGACCTTTAACACCAGGTCCAGTCATCCACCCAGCACTACCACCGTAACCCCTAAACCACAAAGCCATATCACCTAATGCCAGATTCAGGTGCCTCAAAATGATTTCCCTGATTTCAAGCAGAACCTAGTTTTACATAAAATACACTAAGAACCACTTGCCAAGGAAAACCTGCAGCTTTACTGTGCTAGAACATATAAGCACTGCATATTCCAAATCTAAAAGTGTTGAAGGCATGGCTTCAGATATCCAAGAACACTTCTTTCATACACCCTGCTGCCAATCATTCAAAGCTGTGCTGCAAAAGCAGCTGCTGCTTGCAGTTTCTGGCTATGGCTTTGGTCACAGACCAAATTGTTGACATGGACCAAACAAAACAAGCTTCAAGAGTCTTCAGGTATCAGCAGGTACATCAAAAGTTTTGTAATTACAGATTTTCCCCTTTGTCCTGTACTTACCATTTCACAACTTAACATCTTTATCCATATTTCATAGTGTTAAGGTCAGTCAAGGACTTCCTATATCCACAGATGTTTAAGATTGTATTTCACATATCAATTCCACAGGTTTCTCTGGACTCAGATTCATGGAAAGGCAGCAACAGCTGCCCCAGCCATAAATACAACATTTCTTTCTTTTACTGTTGGCTAAACAGGGAAAAAGGTGACCATACTCTTAATTGTCCCTGAGTCAGTGTCTACAAAAGTGGGGCTTTTTTGCATATTCTATTTGAGCACATCCCCACTTATTCCATATTCTTCCCTGCTATGATATATATATATATATATACACACACCCACAAAATTAATACTAGCCTCATTCAGCTGTTGAGCTTGTCTTTGCATTTCACAGACAACCTCCTCTGCTGTTGCTGCTTCTTCTCTGGTTTCACTAGCTAAAATTAACCTCCTATACAAAGCTTTTACAATTTTTGGTTTGTGGCATCTCATACCAGTTACCTTTCCCTCAGCTAACTTGTCCCAGAAATTGCTTAAATCTTGAATTCATCACTCTTTCAGCTATCATAATAACACAAGTATTACACAGCTTCCACACAGCTTGTTTCAAGGTTAACTTGGCAACAAATTGACACCTTTGATCCCTTATCAGACCGAAAAAGCATATTGAAGACATACTACCAAAATCAGTTCACTCACATGTGGGAAGGATCTGAAACTATTTCCCAACTGGTTGTATGTAGCTACAATAGCTCCCCACTTAGAGATGTGAATCACTAAGCTTCCAGCATTTCACTTGACAGCACTTTGAAGTACTACAGTACACTACAGAAACATGAGTATCAAATCACTCGGATGTTAAACAACAGTTTGCAGCTGCCTACAGTCTTCTAAAATCTAGGTCTAACATACCAGCAGAGATAGCTGCCTGCTGTTTTGTCCCAGTTGTTTGGCTTTGGTGTGGGTTTTGTTGGTTTTTTTTCTCAGCTGGAAGTGGTAGTGAGATGGTACCTAAAATAGACACGTACAAACCAAAAGCCTAGCTAGATAAAGTCTAGTCCAAAAACCTGCCTTACTCAACAAAGGCTGCTCAGGAGGTTTGGAATCAAATCCTGACAAGGGAAAAGATCTAGCAGACTAAGGAGGAGTCAGGAACTTGGAAACCAAGGACTAATGAGGAGCCTGGAAAAGCTATTTGGGACAACCTATCACTTAGAAAGCAAACTGGGTTTTTTTTTTTCAGTGCTTCTAGCTACAGATAAGTTGTGTATGATACTTCACATGGTGTATCTGCAAATCAAATGCAACCTGGTATAAAACTAGACAGCCAGAAAAATGATCCAATCAATGTGAATCAGTCTAGTCTTGTAGTAGATGTGATTTTGTAACAGAAGTTACAAGTCTGGATAACCAATAGCTATGTGTGGTTACTTTACAGTACATGAACAGTTGCAGCAGTCATGTAAGTTCTTGATGATAATGACACATATGAATGTTTAACATTAAATGGCTTGAGAATTTTCAAGCCCCATCAGTGCTAGCAGGACTTTTTGGCATAAAGAGGCTCCCAGTAAAATCCTCCAAGATTCTAAGCTGAAAGA